ATTCCAACTTAGGACTGTACAGGGACGGCCTTGCAGTATTCCATAACTCCACACCATCCCAAATGAAGCGCATCAAAAAGAGAATATTTGCAACGTTCAACGACTGTTTTAAACTAAAAATCACAACAAAAGCCAACCTGAAAGTCGTAGACTACCTTGACGTCACACTAAACCTCAACACCGGCCCATTCAAACCATACAGAAAAGAAAACGACCCACCACTCTACATCATCTCCGCATCAAACCATCCGAAAAATATCATCACCCAACTCCCATCTTTCATCAACAGGAGAATATGCGACTTATCCGACAGTGAGGCAACGTATTGGAACGCATCACCAGCATACATGGATGCACTACAAGCATCCGGTTTCACGTACGATCCTAAATACGAGCCCTCTCAGCCACAGAATCCACGAAAGCAGAAACAACAGAGAAACATCATCTGGTACAATCCTCCATTCAGCAAGAACATTGCCACCAACATCGGCAATCATTCCTGAACCTTATTCATAAGCACTTTCCCCCTACAAACCCACTACACAAATTATTCAACAAAAACAACGTAAAAGTTAGTTACAGCTGTATGGAGAACATGGGTACCATAATAAACTCACACAACAAGAAAATACTAAACCCCGGACAACCTGATCCTGTAAATGGTAATTGCAACTGCAGACGAAAAAATGAGTGCCCGCTGGATGGAAACTGCCTCACCCAGAACGTGGTCTACAAAGCCGAAATCACAACTAAAAACGACACGAAACAGTACATTGGATTAACGGAGAACACCTTCAAATGCAGATACACCACACACAAGCGCTCCTTTAATCATCGCAAGCATCAGAACAGCACGAGACTGTCAAAATATATATGGGAACTGAAAGAAAGCAACACCCCCTTCACTATTAAATGGAACATAATAAAACGAGCACCCCCATATAACAATATCACTGAACGCTGCAACCTATGCCTAACAGAAAAGTATTACATCATCGCATCCGACCGTAACAAAACATTAAACAAACGATCAGAGTTGATCTCCGCCTGTCGTCACCGCAACAAATACTTGCTCAAGAACTGTTAATTTCCACGCCCACTTTCTACAAACCTCATGCCCATCACTTATAATATACCTGTTCCTAATGAAAACATTTTCTCCCAGCTGTAAACTCCACAACACGTATATATATACCATCCTTTCTGCTCAATAACTCAGACCTGACAATTGCACATTGCATGAAACTGCAGTAGTCGAAAATAAAATCCTTACACGTATTGTTGTCAAATTATGTTGTGAAAAATATTAACAATATGGTGTAATAACACATAAACATCTGTCTCTTATACACATCTTCAATTAATTGCCTCACCAAAAATGTCATTTATCTCATATATTGTAATATTTGTGGCAAACAATATGTCGGAGAAACAAAAAACACTCTCCGTCTGAGAATGACACAACACAGATCAGCTATCGGAACATCTAAGCTTGATCAACCAGTAGCCGAACATTTCAATTTAGCTGGTCATTCAATTTCAAATTTCAGAGTGATTGCAATTGACCATAATGCCAATTGGAGTGACAAAAATCGCAAAGATAGAGAGAATCACTGGAAACTTTTACTTAAAACCACCACACCATTTGGACTCAATATTAGGAACGTTCTCCCAGTACACTAAATTAAACCTATGGCATTCCAAATTCTTCTGGATAAATCATTTGGCTTATTTATTGAGGCACGCCTCTAAAGTTTAGTTTTGGCCTTCCTGTTTACTTGTTTTTAGGCTGTTTATTCTAATCCCACCTAGCCTAGCCTATTGTTTCTAATCATGCTTGGATGAAATTCTCACTTTATACTATCTGGCTTTTTCAACCCTCACTCACTCGCCACTGAGGAAGGACTAGTGTTGTCCGAAAGCTCTGGTTCTATTTCTGGCTGTTTACTTACGTTTACTTTTTAGCTG